TTCTGGCGGAGTTTGGGGGAGAGAAAGAAAGACTTTTGCTGCTTTCCTTGCGTGCAGCCAAAAGCAGAAGAAGAAAGAAGCGGAAAGAAGCAGCCCGGTGGCCAGGCCAGGCATGTGGGGCGAGTGGGGCAAGTTCCCCCCCTCCGCCCTTTGACCCCTCCCCTCACTACCTCGTGTAGTTGTTCGCAATGCAAGCGACGCAAGCCTTGTGTTCCTGCGGGCCATGTGGGCAAGCACAGCCTTGTGTACCCGTGCAGCCTGGATGAATTGCTTTGGGGTGGGGGGGACGGGGGACATTTCTCTGCAGGCTACCGACATTTTCTTACCAGTGATCCCCGGCCAACCAGTTTGGCAACCACTGGACTAGATGACCTACAAGGTCCCTCTTCCAACTCTGTTAATCCGATCTAATCTGCTCCATCTGCTATTCCCCCAAAAAGCTCCCCGGGATTGTTGACCTTCTGTTCCGTATTTGCATTTTTATGTTTTATTTCGAAGGTTGAAGAGCCGGTCTTTTGGCCATATCCTTGGTTTTTACGGCACAATCTTTGCCCAGGGAGCAGGCATTTCAGCCGAGAGAGAACCGGTGAATAACAGGATTTTCATGGCTGGCAATTAAGCGCAGAAAGCTTTGCCAGGACAGCCGAGGGAGGGGAAAAAACCGCCCGCGGGGAGTGATGAACGAAGCAAAGGCGCCTTTGCGGTCGCCAAAGTCTCTAAGAATTGGTCCAAGAACGTCAGAGGCAGATGTGCGCGGTGGCTGACCGCGTCCCCGAAATGTGGCATTGGTGGAAGGCGGCTGAGGAGCACCGGTTGACGAGCAGGGCTGTTGAGCGGAGCCCAAAGAGTTCTTTGTGGGAGGAGAGCTGCGGTACGAGGGGTCCCCGACTTACGACGTCGTACGTCGTGAGGTCATAAAGAGGGTCACGAAGAGAGCGATTTTATGAACTTTTTTTGGGGGGGGGAATGGCGGTCATTAGGCAAAACAGAAGGTAAATGCTGGACGTTGGCAAAGATGTCGTGAAACAGGGTCAGGTGATTGGAGGACATTGGAAGGGGCTGGAAATGCAACGATGGGACAGGATAGTGGTTAGGGAGGGGGCGAGGGACAGAGGGAGGAAGGGAGGGAGGGAGGAAAGAAAGAAGGGAGAGGGGTTAGGGAGACAGGGAAGAAGAGAGGGAAGGAGGAAAGAAAAAGGAGGGAAGGGTGAATGAGAAAGAAAACGAAGGAAGGAAGAGAGGAAGGAAGGAAGGAAATAAGGAAGGGAGGGGTGAGGGACAGAAGGAAGAAGGGAGGGAGGAAGGAAAGAGGAGGGAGGGGAAGAAGGAAGGGAGGAAATAAGGAAGGGAGGAGTGAGGGACAGAGGGAGGAAGGGAGGGAGGGAGGAAAGAAAGAAGGGAAAGGGGTTAGGGAGACAGGGAAGAAGAGAGGGAAGGAGGAAAGAAAAAGGAGGGAAGGGTGAATGAGAAAGAAAACGAAGGAAGGAAGAAGGAAGGGAGGAAGGAAGGAAGGGAGGGGTGAGGGAGAGAGGGAAGAAGGGAGGGAGGAAGGAAAGAGAGGAGGGAGAGGTGAGGAAGACAGGGAAGAAGGAAGGGAAGGAGGAAGGAAAGAAGGAAGGAAGGGGGTGAGGAAAGAGAGGGAAGGGAGGGAGGAAGGAAGGAAAGAAGAAAGGGAGGGGATGAGGGACAGAGGGAGGAAGGAAGGAAGAGAAGGGGAAGGGAGGGAGGAAGGCTGGAAGGAAGAAAAAGAACTGAAGAAGGAAGGGAGGAAGAAAGGAAGGAAGGACGGAGGGAGGGAGGAAGGGAAGGAAGAGATGGAGGAAGAAGAAAAATGGAGGGAGAAAAGGAGGTGAGGGAGGGAGGGAAGGAAGGAAGAAAGGAAAGAAGGGAGGGAGGGAGGAAAGAAAGGAAAAAGAAAGAAGGGAAAGAACAGAAGGAAGGGAGGAGAAAGGGAAGGGAAGGAGGAAAGGAGGGATGAAGAAAGGAAGGGAGGGAAGGAGGATAGGGAGGGAAGGAAGGAAAGAGAAAAAGAAGGGATAGGAAAGAAGGAAAGAGGAAGGGAGGAAGGAAGGAAGGAAAGAAGGGAAAGAAAGGAAAGCGAGATGAAGGAACTAAAATACCAAATGTATAGAATTGGCGATGTTTATATTAATGGCTGCCAGGGTTTTACAGGCCTTTTATTGGAGAAGGTTTCTGACCTTTTGGCTAAGTAAATGTGGAAGTTTACACCTCAATGTCTAGAATAACCTTGTATTTAAAAACGAATTTGACCTGGGATTTTTAATTGGAAACCCTTCTCGGGCTACAGTTTGATACACCCAATTGTGCCGCATCGCAAATTTGCATTTCAAAGTCCTTTTTTTAAAAAAAAATTGGATGTATAATTTATAGTGCAGTATTGACTTCATGCATTATTTATTATCTGGAGTTTCCTTTTAAGGGTTCGAATAGTGCTAATCATGCAATTTCTTTTGTCTTTTTTTTTGCTCAAAACTGAAACACGTTTATGGATGTTGCTTAGCAAACAGAGAGAGAACTTCTAATGATGTAAGGTAATATATTAATTTTAGGACCGTTCAGGTTTATCCGCCTGCGTTACTTTCCCTGTACATCGGCGTTTCTCAATGTTGACAGCTTGAAGATGGATGGGCTTAAGGCAGGACTAGAACTTCCCGTCTCCTGGTGATTGGCCCAAAGTCACTCAGCCCACTTTCATACCTAAGATGGAACTAGAACTCACCATTTCCTAGCGGTTGGTCGAAAGTCACCCAGCTGGCTTTCATGCCTAAGGCAGGACTAGAACTCACAGTCTCCTAGTGGTTGGCCCAAAGTCACCCAGCAATTTTTCATGCCTAAAATGGAACTAGAACTCACAGTCTTCTAGTGTTTGGCCCAAACTCACCCAGGTACCTTTCATATCTAAAAATGAACTAGAACTCACCATCTCCTAGTGATCGGCTCAAAGTCACCATGCTGGCTTTCATAACTAAATGAACTAGAACTCACAGTCTCCTGGTGATTGGCCCAAAGTCACCCAGCCGACTTTCATACCTGAGATGAAACTAGAACTCACTGTCTCCTAGGGATTGGCCGAAAGTCACCGTGCTGGCTTCCTTACCTAAGAACGAACTAGAACTCACCATCGCCTCGTGATTGGTCCAAACTCATCAGCCTGCTTTTATGCCTAAGATGGAACTAGAACTCACAGTCTCCTAGTGTTTGGCCCAAACTCACCAGCCCACTTTCATACCTACGAACGAACTAGAACTCACCATTTCCTAGTGATTGGCTGAAAGACATCGTGCTGGCTTTCATGCCTAAGATGGAACTAGAACTCACAGTCTCCTAAAGATTGCCCCAAAGTCACCCAGCTGGCTTTCATGTCTAAGATGGATCTAGAACTCACCGTCTCCTAGTGATTGCCCCAAAGTCACCAACCTGCTTTCATACTTAAGATGGATCTAGAACTCAGTCTCCTAGCGACTGGCTGAAAATCACCATGCTGGCTTTCATGCCTTGGGAGGATCTAGAACTCGCCATCTCCTAGTGACTGACCCAAACTCACCAATCTGCTTTCATCCTTAAGATGGATCTAGAACTCACC